AAAAAAAAAAAAATGTTATTCCAATGTAAAGAAAATCAAGTTTCAAAGATTTGATGCAGTTCCCAATTTGTTCAGGATCAGCTGCTGCAGCATGGAAATAGATTGGAGAGAGAGAAGTTTTCAAGATGCTCCATATTTCATCCCCGGATCTTCAGATAGCTCTCGTAGTCAAAAGTGCATACATCTACACAAAGAATTTATGTACTTACAGAGATAACGAGAAAGAGTTGTTTGGTCATAGTAACATTAACAAAATATCCATCCATTCTGTGTTTAATGTTATGTAATGTATAGTGTGGGAAATAAGGATCTGATCCCCTGCCAAATTTGTAACTTTGCTGACTTGCACTGAAATGAACAGTTTGTAATTTGTAGGTAGTTTTAAATGGAGAGATAATGAATATCAATCATAAATGTAGGGGAAAAAACACATTACATCTAAATTAGGTGGCACCCAGATTACAAGCAGTCAATCAGTCACCTAATTACAGATACTCCTGATCTCAACTTGTGATGTGCATAAAAGCACACCTGTCCATAGAATCATTTTCTTCCATTTCAACCTCTCCAACTCCATGACCAAGACCAATGAGCTGTCAAAGGACAGCAGGGATAAGATTGTAGACTTCTACAAGGCTGGAGGGCTGCACCAAGAAGCTTGGTCAGAAGTCGATAATTGATGCTAGGATTATTCGGAAATGGAAGAAATATAAAAAGGCCATCAGAAATCAAACTCGATCTCTTTGGCATCAACTCAACCTGACATGTTTGGAGGAAGAGAAATGCTAGGCATGACCCAAAGAACACCATGCAGAGTCAAGCATGGAGGTGGGAACATTAACATTATACCTTGGGGGGGGTTCTGTTAAGGGTAAAAGACAACTTCAATACATTGAGGGGCCAGTAGATGTTGCCATGTACCATTAAAATCTTCATTGAGAACCTCCTTCCTTTGCAGCATGACAGTGACCGAAAAACATACAACCAAGGTCAGAAATGAGTGGCAAAAGAAGAAGCACATTAAGGTCATGGCGTGACCTAGCCAGTCACCAGACTTCAGTCCTATAGAAAATCTGTGGAGGTGGCTGAAGGTTTTAGTTTCTGAGCAGCAGTCAAGAAAGATAAAGGACTTGAGTTACAGTAAAGAGGAGTGGTTCAAAATCCCCCTGGAGATATGTGCAAACATGGTGATCAACTACAAGAAACATCTTACCACTTTGTAACCCTTGGAGGTAGGGCTGGGCGATATGGCCTAAAATCCATATCGCGATATAATTTGAAGCACGTGCGGTAACGATATATATCGTGATGTATTCTTTTCTTCTGTATAACGTATTTTCCACACTATAAGGCACACTTAAAATCCTTTAATTTTCTCAAAAATCGAGTGTGCCTTATGTATGAATTCTGGTTGTGCTTACTGACCTCAAACCGATTTTGGCATGCAGAAATCTGTTAAAAATGTTTTGATGGATTGTCAGAGCATTACGGCTGCCATAGTGAGGAACTTCGCGGAGTAATTTGGGTCCAAAACTGTCCACTTCAGGACCCCAAAGTCAAATGAACACTGAGAGTTAAAAACGGTCTAAACTCTTTCATCTTTAATAAAATCATCAGCGTTGCTGCTTTACCAAG